ATTTCGTCTCCCACTGTGCACTTCGCTTCAGTCGCTTCATTTATCAACCATAGTTAAAGAGTCACGTTTTATTTGTTACAGATTTCTATTGCATGCGGGTTAGTCATTTATGACCGTCTCATATATTTCTCTTAACAATACACTGTAATACAACTACATGTACGTCTCGTGATACCTAAATGAGATAAATTAAACTACAGTAAACTACGTTTATAACGAGCACTCTCATAACAAACTGACTGATATAACGAACTTGTTGTTTAGTCCTGGCTGTTGTATATATTCTGCATATACGTTTATAACGAACTACGGTTATTACGAACTAAAATTAGTGGTCCTTTTGATTTTGTTATAACCGCCGGGCTTGCAGGTTAGAGCGCCTTGAGTAACCTATTATTGGATCGTGTGGTTAAATGATCACAGTCATGCCTGACTGGTTTGTCTAACCCATAATCGATTATTTACAGACAACAATCACATTACTATGTTAAACCAACACATCATTATTTGTACTTGTAGACACCCTACCACTCGGTGTTAAGGGGATAAAACGTAGACTGGTCGCCTCGAAGTCAGTATACAGTGGCTGAGTGGGATATCCATGTTAAACTGCGGTATCTCGGTAGGCCAGCACTGTGAAACTGGTCTAAGTCGGGACTAGTACAAACACTCACACCCATACGCGAGCATGGACGTCGCTTTACACTACTAGGTGTAATAATCGTGAACACAACGTTAAACCAGTGTGAGTCGACTGAAAGCCAACATAACTGACAATGAGAGATTGTATGAACGACACGTGGGGTGTGTATTGAAACCGTGACAAACCAAATGAGGTGAGGTGAGGTGAAATGGGGTTTAACGTCGCGTCCAAGATTATTGCACTTATATAGCGACGTGCATGTACGTGTGTGTGTTTGTGTGGCTGCTTGTACCAGTCCGGACTGATGCCGATTTATAGTGCTCACTGAGATGCCATGCCGCAGTTTAACACGAATACCCAACTCAGACACAGTATTCTGACTCCAAGCCGACCTGTCAGACACGGTAACAACAAGTACCATATTTTAACGTGTTTTGGTATGACGGGGCCGGGGATCGAACCCCGTACATTCCACTCTCCGGGCGGACGCTCTGCCACTAGACAGACAGGCAGGCAGAAACATACACACATCTCCCTCCCAACTTCGCTCATCCATGACTCTATGCAGCAATATTCAAATATAGGGAAGAAATGAATTTATTACGGATGTCCCCAGGTATCATGTTGCTGCCAAACCTAGAAACATAATCGGGGCGAACTTGAAGTCGAACCCACATTCAAGTTGTGGCGCCTTAGACGACAGGGCCACCCGTGCGACCCCAATGAAAAGGGTATTCGTGGTGATGGACCTCTGTGTCAAAACCACAAGCATTGCGAAGACGGTAATAAAAGGATCGAGCCACTCCATCATGTCCTTAACCTTAAACTGTGGACTGGTTGAGTGAGATAAAATTAAGTGGCTTCTCTACACTGGTACAGCCTCACCTCATAAACGTAGAAAATCCAATCACTGATAAATCTTCACAATCATTACTCAATCCTCAATACTGTTCTTTTTGTTTATGTATGAGACAAGTATATCAAAATTATTTGGTGAATCACGGACTTGAGCTACTTGCAAAGATTTTATGCACGCTTCTTTAGATTGAAACTGTTGTTGACTCTCAATGCAATTTCTCAGTAGGGTGGAATTGAGCTCTGAAACTCATTGATCAGGGAACCATAAAAACAGTCTTCGTATGTCACAGCTGTAGAGGACTGACAAACGTGACCAACCCTTTTATAGCTTTTAAAAAAAAGAATTTGTTGATTCCTTTCATAAATATAATTTATTGTACAAACACTTTATATGTGTCTCTGTTCATGTTTTTGATCTGTTCGTAGGAAAGTCCTTTCATTGTAAAACCCTTTCAGTCCGTAGATAGTAATACTTTGTCGACGAATGCGTCAAACAATTTTGAATAATTCTTCAGTCCAACCAAAGTTGTGTTCCTTACTGAAAGGTTTGTCAAATAACTAATTCGCACCTTAATTTAGTTTGGTGTAGGTTCATTTACTATTTTGACGTCAGCTTCAGCCCATTGTCGGACTTTCGTGTAGTGTGAGATTGTAATTATACACCAACCCAGATAAATAAAGTGACAAAACCTTTTCCATATCCAATAGAAATCGCTATCTATCGATTGTACAATTCCGACTATATCATGAGTATGTGTTTATGAATCACTATCAAATAGTAATGATAACAAGCGTTCGCGAAAAGGTGAGCGTATCCTGTCCCACCGGTGGCACACGTCACAAACACAGCAAAGGCAAGTCAATTGTTCACCTGGCCCGTGAAGATCCGGGGCCGATTAGGTCTTCAGCAACACATGCTTGCCGTAAAAGGCGACTATGCTTGTCGTAAGAGGCGACTAACGGGATCGGGTGGTCAGGCTCGCTGACTTGGTTGATGCATGTCATCGATCCCAATTGCGTGGATCGATGCTCATGATATTAATCACTGGATTGTCTGGTCCAGACTCGATTATTAACAGACCGCCGTCATAGCTGGAATATTGCTGAGTGTGGCGTTAAACAACAAACCAACCAACAACCAATTGTTCACCTGAAAAAACATGGGAACATATGGTACAAGTTATAGGAAATTGCATCTGGCATCATTTTTGCCACTGATACGTCAAATTTGGAAATGTCCTCCAAATATCTACCATAAAACCTTTTGAAAGCTTTACTGAGGCCTTGAATGTTGTAACCTTGATCATACCACTTCTGAGCAAGAGTCGTATGACACTCTTTGAAATCTTGTTAGAAAGAGCATGCTCGATTGTATCTAAAAAGTTGCGAAATGTAAACACCAAAGGCTGGACCTGCTTGAATATTGTTCGACATGAAGGGAAAATTGATTATTGGAAAGTTGAAGTCAACCCTCTTGTCATACAGTCTTGTGGAGAGTGTTTTGTCACTCTGAATCTTTATGCATAGATCTAACTATGAAACAGATGAGGCGGTCTCACTGGTCTCCTTTATGTCTAGTTCAGGTGGGTAAATCAGTGGAAGGGAATGGGCTATTTGATGGTTATTGAATGATATCAGATCATCTAAATATCAGAAGATTAAGTTAAACTTCTTTGCCAAATAACAGAAATTCCGATTCATATGCATAAAGAAACAGATACGCAAGAAGGGGAGCACAATTGGCGCCTATGAGGAATGCCTACTTCTTGCCTAAATGTCTTACCCTCCAATGTTACGCAGATGTTATCAATGAGGGAGTCAAGCATTTCACATATTGTTTTCTCAGTAAACTTCAGATGGCATTTGCTTTCATTTTTTCAGACATTGTCCTGAACGTCTGAGTATAGATACGCAACTGTATCTGTGTTCACCACGTTTGGAACAAAAGGCCCATGGATCAAGGAATGAAGGTATTCCTTAAGTTTGTCATGTGGGATAGTGGTGTACAAAGTTGAAAAATCAAATGTTGTGACAGAATGGAACTTGGTTCGACACCAATGTACTTATGTGTGTTCTTATGTGTTAAATACCTAGTCATGAGTGATCTTAATGGGCGAAATACCCTTTCCGCACATTAGGCTTTAAAGTAACTATCAGTTTTATACCTTGTTTACCTACCTTCTTTGAAAACACAAGCAAAGTCCATACCTTTGTCTACACGGGAGATAAGTTTCAATCCTTCTACCACCATCTCGGGTTTTCTGTTCTTAAGGGGGGCACGGCTGGCTCAGTCGTCTAAGGCGCCGCGATTGTGCAGAGTTGTGTCCCTTTGGCACGACAGAAACCTATGATCGTGGGTTCGAATCCCGTTTCGCCCCAATTATGTTTCTAGGTTTGTCAGCAATATACCCGTGCTCATAGGTTTCACCGAAGTGGTAAACGTCTTAGACTTGCGTCACTTTGGGCTTTCCTCCCACATTAAGCTGACACGCCGTGATATAGCCTGAATACTGTTAAAAGCGACGTCAATGCCAAGTCACTCACTCATTTTGTTCTTATGTGGCTTGACTCACAAAAATCGCAATAAAATGTCTATGTCGCTATGAAGAAATAATGCACACCATGAATAACGCACACTGGAATGGTGACTGACGTCAGCAAGGTCCATGTCCAACATTTCATCTCGCTCATTGACTCGTACACGTGGTCTGGGAAACCTATTCTTCACCTGCTTGTTCAATGAATTTGCATACTTGTCTTCCAGAAACTCCTTTACTTTCTTCAGACTGATATATTTCTGAAATTTTATGCTCTATTATAGGCGCGACTTTTTTAGGATCAAAGTATATTTCTTCCTGGATTTTTTGGGGAAGCTAGACATGACTGTAAATGATAAAGAAGAACATAGTACTACGTTAAATATATATTAAACTGTGAAATTGGTACACTGTACGTGATTAATAAAATCCAGTTTGTAAGTACATTACGTTTTCTTTCCACTGTACAGCCATGAGGTTTTCTATTCCTTCAGTCAACCAGTTTGTGTACTGTATTAAACCGTTGGCACCGCCCCCTACGCCCTGTCTGTACAAGATGAATGTGCAGATGTATAGTTTGCATAAATTGTCTAGTCTTTGCTTTTTGCTTTTTAATTAGCAGCTCCAACTGGAACTCATCGCCCAACAACGCAACATGGTTCTGAATGTGAACCTTCTCAGGTCAGAATATCTATAGTTCGCATGATTCGCATGTCATGAGGTCTAACAGGTACTAAGCTTCTGATGCTTGTTGTAAGAGGCGACTAACGGGTTCGGGTGGTCAGGCTCGGTTGATGCATGTAATCGTATCCCAATTGCGTGGATCGATGCTCATGAGGTCAATCACTGGATTATCTGGTTCAGACTCGATTATTTACAGACCGTCGTCATATAGCAGGGATATTGCTGAGTGCGGCGTTAAACAACCAACCAAATAAGTTTCTGATCAAAAGAAACAGTGCTAACATTTCCTTTGAAATTTATTTTGTCGTTCTCTCATAAGTCAAAATCATGGCCCCTTTGGGTGAATTAACAAAATGCAATCAAACATATATGGAGTCATTACTGTCAAGAAAAAGCAGATGCCACAAACAATCACTAAGCAGGAAACCAGAAATCAGTACAAACAGAGCTAAATTGTGAAATCAGTAGCCACACTAAATCAAAGAAAAATCAATACATTATATTGAAACGCACAGTTTTAGGATCGCTATCAAACATGGCAATACAATGGGTCAAATGAGGGGCAGCAGTAGGGCTTGTAATTAATGTTCAAACATTCACGAATGTTCAGAATAATGTCTTTCAAACATGACTAACTTCTTGAATCATATCAATATTGGATGGTGGAGATTCTGTGATTACAGAACATGTTGTTTTGAAGTAAATGAGACAGACCTCATGTCGAAAAAGGCCTCAACTCACACTCTTGTGTATCTTATATATGGAACCGCAATCCTCCTTGAAACTGTCCCACGTCTCGAAGGATCAAGCATGTTATGTTTGCAAACAGGGATGGTAACCCTTAATTCCATTCACTTGCTGCCGCCGACATTTTACTGGTGCTTCAATCATTTACTGCCACTGAAAATCACTGCAAGTAAACCTGCGACGATCTCTGCTGCAACATACCAGAGTGTTGGAACTGATATGACTGTAGCTGTGCTGGACATTATTTCTGTACTGGTAGCTTGTTTTGATGGAGGTGAAGAATTTTGTGTTGTGCGGGCTGTTGTAGGAATTGTTGATGTAGTTGTTGGTGTAGTTGTTGTTGCAGTTGTGGTAGTTATTGGTGTAATTGTGGTAATTATTGGTGTAGTAGTGGTAGTTGGTAAAGTGGTAGTTGTTGGTGCAGTTGTAGTAGATGTTAGTGTAGTTATGGTAGTTGTTGGTACAGTAGTAGTTGTTACAGTTGTTGGTGTAGCTGTGGCAGTCGTTGTAGTAGTTGTTGGTGCCATTGTGGTAGTTGTTGGTGTAGTTGTGGTAGATGTTAGTGTAGTAGTGGTAGTTATTGTAATTGTGGTAGTTGGTAAAGTGGTAGTTATTTGTTCAGTTGTGGTAGATGTTAGTGTAGTTGTGGTGGTTGTTGGTACAGTTGTAGTTGTTGTAGTTGTTGATGGCGCAGCTGTTGGTGCAGTTGGTGTAGTTGTTGGTGCAGTTGTGGTAGATGTTAGTGTAGTAGTGGTAGTTGGTGTACTAGTGGTAGTTGGTAAAGTGGTAGTTGCTGGTGCAGTTGTGGTAGATGTTAGTGTAGTTATGGTAGTTGTTGGTACAGTAGTAGTTGTTACAGTTGTTGGTGTAGCTGTGGCAGTCGTTGTAGTAGCTGTTGGTGCAGTTGGTGTAGTTGTTGGTGTAGTTGTGGTAGATGTTAGTGTAGTAGTGGTAGTTGGTGTACTAGTGGTAGTTGGTAAAGTGGTAGTTGCTGGTGCAGTTGTGGTAGATGTTAGTGTAGTTATGGTAGTTGTTGGTACAGTAGTAGTTGTTACAGTTGTTGGTGTAGCTGTGGCAGTCGTTGTAGTAGTTGTTGGTGTAGTTGTGGTAGATGTTAGTGTAGGAGTGGTAGTTGGTGTAATTGTGGTAGTTGGTAAAGTGGTAGTTATTTGTTCAGTTGTGGTAGATGTTAGTGTAGTTGTGGTGGTTGTTGGTACAGTTGTAGTTGTTGTAGTTGTTGATGGCGCAGCTGTTGGTGCAGTTGGTGTAGTTGTTGGTGCAGTTGTGGTAGATGTTAGTGTAGTAGTGGTAGTTGGTGTACTAGTGGTAGTTGGTAAAGTGGTAGTTGCTGGTGCAGTTGTGGTAGATGTTAGTGTAGTTATGGTAGTTGTTGGTACAGTAGTAGTTGTTACAGTTGTTGGTGTAGCTGTGGCAGTCGTTGTAGTAGCTGTTGGTGCAGTTGGTGTAGTTGTTGGTGTAGTTGTGGTAGATGTTAGTGTAGTAGTGGTAGTTGGTGTAATTGTGGTAGTTGGTAAAGTGGTAGTTATTTGTTCAGTTGTGGTAGATGTTAGTGTAGTTGTGGTGGTTGTTGGTACAGTTGTAGTTGTTGTAGTTGTTGATGGCGCAGCTGTTGGTGCAGTTGGTGTAGTTGTTGGTGCAGTTGTGGTAGATGTTAGTGTAGTAGTGGTAGTTGGTGTAATTGTGGTAGTTGGTAAAGTGGTAGTTATTGGTGCAGTTGTGGTAGATGTTAATGTAGTTGTGGTGGTTGTTGGTACAGTTGTAGTTGTTGTAGTTGTGGAAGATTGTGACGTAAAATTGCGACAAGTGTCACAACACCTCCCAATGTAGTCGGGACCGGAAGTGATACAGTTGCTAAAGGCACATGGGCCAGTCAACGTGTTGTCGCCATAGGGACAGTCTGCAACATAATCAAGCAGTATTTAAACGTTCAAATATTTGCTAATTGCTATATTGATGACAATAGTGTCGAGCATGTTCGTCTTTCAGTTATCATAACCATCGTGTTACCTTTCACTAGACCATGGTCCATGTGGAAGTAAATCCCAAGGTAATGCAGATGGAACATGTTTAACCCTTTGGTGAATCCGATGATCAATGGCAGCACATGGTGGTAAGAGGCATAGATTCCATTCGCGGATAGATTCACAGTAAATTTATGCAACTCCGCATAACTATTCTTTTCAACTATAAGACATATTTCATCATTTAGACCAGTTATCACGCGTAATGTCATAACATAAATTATAGATACCAGACACTGCGATGACGGACGACTATGCGCTGCAGACAACAATTATGGAGCTTTGGAATCAATTACAAAAGAGGAATTGACAGGTTTAAGAGTCAAAACAAAAGGTGTTAGGACATGCTATACAGTCTAATAAATTGCAATATTGACACTCGTTTTTCAGGAGACAAGGAAAACCATGCACTTATCTCTCTTTCTATCTTACTCTTATCATCAAATATTCTACATTATGTGAACTGTGAACAAAATAAAACTGTTAATAGATATGTTGTAATATTGTGACTGATTACACGTGTCCTTTCTGAATAGTTCCTAATATAAGTAGACATGATTTAAGTTTCCTGTAGAGGACACATAGAGGAGAGGCAAATATAGAGTAGTGTCAAAATGCTAACTTATGATAATACTGACAATGGCCAACAGTGTGCAGAAATATCTACCATTTATGTTTCTACGAAGCAGTTATTAGTATATATATTACTTCTAACTAATGAGCCATAATGCTCCGTAGGTTACCCATGGCTCCTCAATTCTTTCAAACATTAGATCATAATCCAAAACCCAAACCAGACCTCATCAAAACCCCTAGTGTCTGTACTTACCACCTCCTGACGAGTAGGCTGAGCAAGTCTCACAACAGCCATAGGCATTGTTTTCAATGTAACAAAGACGTTTCCGTTCCTGAGTAATAACAGTGTCACAGTCAGAGTAACGATCCCCATATGTGCAATTGGCTGGAAAACATACAATTCAATAATATGAATATTGACGAAATACACACTTTGTGTTAAAGGCATGAAACTTTGCATGTCAAACTGTTAATAAACCAGTTGTAATATTGTGATTGATAATATCTGATCCATTCTGAATAGTTCATAAGATTAGCAGAATTGTGTTAGGATTCATGTTAATATTGAAATGGTTAGAATTGTGTTATTACACCTGCCATTAACACAATAGATATGTTGTGATATTGTAACTGATTACACGTGGTCCTTTCTGAATAGTTCCTAATATAAGTAGACATGATTTAAGTTTCCTGTAGAGGACACATAGAGGAGAGGAAAATATAGAGTAGTGTCAAAATGCTAACTTAGGATAATACTGACAATGGTCAACAGTGTGCAGAAATATCTACCATTTATGTTTCTACGAAGCAGTTATGAGTAGATATATTACTATGAACTAATGAGCCATAATGCTCTGTAGGTTACCCATAACTTCCTCAATTCTTTCAAACATTAGATCATAATACAACTTCAAACATGAATACACAAAAACAATGATTAAACGTTTCTACCCACAGGTGACTACTGGGCGCGAAAGGCAACATCTATGTGAGGTGAGGTGAGGTGAAATGGGGTTTAACGTCGCGTCCAAGATTATTGCACTTATATAGCGACGTGCATTCACGTGTGTGTGTGGCCGCTTGTACTATTTCGGACTGACGCCGATTTATAGGGCTAGAACACTGAGATACCATGCTGCAGTTTAACACGAATATCCCACGCAGACACAGTATACTGACTCCGAGCCGACCAGTCCTTGTTTTAGCCCCTTAATGCCGAGCGCCAGGCAGGGTAACAACAAGTACCTTCTTTTAACGTCTTTTTGGTATGATGCGGCCGGGGATCGAACCCCGGACCTTCCGTTCTTCGGGCGGACGCTCTACCACTAGACCACAGAGTCGGTCTGCAACACCTATGTGAAACACCCTCGCGACTATGATATATATACCCGTCAATAACCTAAATGTTGCAGATTAGAAGTTGAGCAAATCCCTTAATTTCGATGATCAGGAGTATGTTATGTATAAAGCCAATATATACTTGGTGCTCAAATAAAAAAAACTTACGTCCTGTCCAATAACTTTTAATAATGATAACTGCAGAAACTCGAAAATGAGATTCAGACTTATAAAAGCCTTATAAACTACAACTTGAATGATTGACTAAATCATCCAAAACCCAAACCAGACCTCACCAAAACCCCTAGTGTCTGTACTTACCACCTCCTGATGAGTAGGCTGAGCAAGTCTCACAACAGCCATAGGCATTGTTTTCAATGTAACAAAGACGTTTCTCTTCCTGAGTAATAACAGTGTCACAGTCAGAGAAACGATCACCATATGTGCAATTTGCTGGAAAACATACAATACAATAATATGAATATTGACGAAATACACACTTTGAGTTAAAGGCATGAAGCTTTGCATGTCAAACTGTTAATAAATCAGTTGTAATATTGTGATTGATAATATCTGATCTATTCTGAATAGTTCATAAGATAAGAAGAATTGTGTTACGATTCATGTTAATATTGACAATGGTTAGCATTGTGTAATTACACCTGCCATTAACACAATTTTTGTATATCGAAAATAACAGCTTGTACACCAATAATATGAATAATATATTACTGCTTTAATAATTAGAGAAGTAGATGGTACATATTGATACGCTGGATTGATACATTGGATTGATATACTAGACTGATACATTGGAGTGAGTGATTATGGTTTTACGCCGCTTTTAGCAATATTCCAGCAATATCACGGTAGGGGACACCAGAAATGGGCTTCACACATTGTACCCATGTCGGGAATCGAACCCGGGTCCTCGGCGTGACGAGCGAACGCTTTAACCACTAGGCTACCCGACCGCCCCCGATACACTGGACTGAAGCATTAGATTTATACATTGTTTTGACAAATCGTATTGATACATTGGGTTAATAGATGATATTGATACGCTGGATTGATATTTTGTATTGATACATGAGATTGATAACGTCTACTGGTTTATTAGGATGATCTGATACACTGGACTCACATATTGTATTGATACATTGCATTGATACATTGGACTGATACCTTGAACGTAAACATTTGACTAATACACTCGACATATATAGTGGACACATTTATTTGAGTGATACACTGGACTGATACATTGGATTGATATACTGGTCTGATACATTGGATTGGTACATTGAACTGGTACATTGGATTGATACATTGGTCTGATGCAATCAATTAATACATCGGACTGATATAGGGGACTTCTACATTGAATTGATTCATTAGACCTATACACTGGACTAATAGATTAGGTTGAAGTGATACATTGGACTGATGCATTAAATTGATACATTGTACTGATATAGGAGACTTCTACATTGAATTGATTCATTAGACCTATACACTGGACTAATAGATTAGGTTGATGTGATACATTGGACTGATACATTGAATTGATACATTGGACTGATGCATTTAATTGATACATTGGACTGATGCATTGAACTGATACATTGAACTGATACAGTGGACTGATGAATTTGGTCACAGATCCGGTATTAAATCAAGTATTTTGATTGTATGTTAAGGGGAGATAATCCCAGTTTGGAATTGGTGAAAGACATCTAATCATTTGAAAAGTTTTTATTCCATAGAATAACTTACTGCCACTCATTAACGTTAACAAATAAACATTTGCTTCGTTGTAGCATAGATCTTTCGTGTCCTGAGTTACTGTGTCACAGTTTCTATATCGATCTCCATATAGGCAGTTTTCTAGAGCAAATGAAATATACAAGTACACATAAGAAATATGAGGCAAATAGATACAAACGTATCTTAATTGTGAAGATGACCCGTTGGTTAACACATCAGTCAATATACCCATGTTCAACAGACACTGATGGCAACAATCCAAATGACACAAACCGTAGGGGAGGTACGTAAACCACGTGCTGAGTACCACAGAGGAGTGGATGTCATACTGGATTATCACGTGGTACTTGTATCCTCAATTCACATTTTGGAAGAGGATTTTGTTATCTAACATACACACAACAGTAAGTACAGTCTTGAACATTACTGCTTTATGCTTTTATTGATTATGTTTGCTGGATGTGTATGGCTATAACATTATTGTATGGTTTTATCATAATAATTCTTACAGAGCTTCTACCTCTGTTACATATCTGCCAGAATATACCAGAGGGACCCCTGTGTAATTGACTGCAAACCTCTTCTGGAAACCATTATGTACTGATTCTAATCCTACTTGAGATAATTTCCTCTGAAATTCCCCTCGAGGACTTGAACATCAGATACTGTGTCAAGAATCGGTCCCAATATGTGATATTTACACTAGATTTTCCGTCATATTTGCTGATCTTGAGCGTAAATAAACCTGGATTTATGACTTTTCATACCGACGATTACGTCACTTCCGTTTATGACCCCAATTCCGGTTATGACGCCACTTCCGGTATGTCACTTCCCCTTTTGGTAATGACGTCTTTCTAGGTCTATTTCTACCCCAAAGGCGTCATTTAGCAATTTGTTTCCGGTGCTGACGTCACTTTCGGTTTCTCTTACTTCCGGTAATGACTTCACTTCCTGTCTAATGGTGATAGTTGATATTAAAGGTGCCTCTAATCCTACCTACACCTGATATGCAGAATAATAATCAAAGGTGTACACACCCTCTGATGCTGCTGGTGTCGGAGGATGAAGGTCTCCCCGATCTTGCAACAGCTTCTGAGGCAAGCTCAGAGTATACGGATGTCTGCATCTTCTGCATGAAAACTTCCAGGCTAGATGTAGACTGGGCAGATTTTCGTGAAATATGTTGGACTTGTCATAGCAGATCTCGACGAAGTGGTTACTGTATAGGTTCCTCCATTTGTAGCTTAAGTAGTCTGGGGAACCACGCCCTGCTGGGCCATATTGAAGCTATCAGTATTATTACACCATGCGTCTCCTCCACCTCGTGGATGACTTTGTCAAGGAGAGACCATGATGGGAATGCGTAGGCGAATAGATTGGTCCAATCCATCGAAAGAGCGTCGATCTGGTGAGCTCTTTGGACGTGAACTCGGTTGACATAGACCGGAAGTTGGTTGTTCTGGCAGGTGGCGAATAGATCTATATGTGGTCTGCCCCATAGCTTGGTTATCCAGGTGAAGATCTGGGGATGTAATGTCCATTCTGTTGCCACTTTTCTCACCCGAAAGACTGTTCAGTTTCCCGGGTATATGTCTCGATCCGGCAATTGAAGGAGTCTGCCAAGGCAAACAATCGTGTAGTCATCATCATCAGGGTGATTGTTCTGGTTCCTCCCTGCTTCTGAATATAGGCCACTACTGTGTTGTTGTCCGTGGCTATGAGAACAGATGATAGATGAAGATGTATCCACCATTCCAGGATGGTGTTATATATGGCCTTGATTTCCCTGCAGTTGATATGAAGGTTTTTCTCCTCTGTGTTCCACGATCCCTGTACGATGAGATCGTCCATATGGGCTCCCCATCCCGAATCTGACGCGTCTGTGAATAGATATCAGAGGGATGCCACTCATCACATGTTCTCTGTGATTCCACCAATGGAGGTCTCATAGTAATCTGGGAGTTAACTGAGTCAGGCACTCTTGGCCGTGAGATCGTATATAGTTGACACATATCTGTAGAGGACGTAGCATCAGCCTTCCTCTGAAGATCATAACCTGTAGAGACGTAAAGTTGCCTTGAAGAGACATCCACCACCTCGGCGACTTGCTGGGTTGACTTGAAAGTGATTGAATCATCTCTATAGTCTTATCGAATCGATCCTCCGATGGGCATAGATATCCCCTGTCTAGCTGGAATCTTACTCTGATGTATATAATGTCTTGAACCGGAGTAGTCTCTGACTTGGATGGATTGATTAGAAGGCCTAGGTAGGTCATAAGTTGGACCGTGAATATCAAGTTCTGATGTAGCTGATCGTTTCCTTGGTCTGCCGCTAGGAAGTCGCCCAGATAGCTTTGAATTCGAACTAGCTTGAGGTGAGCGAACTTGATGACTGGTGCTGTAACCCTGGTGAATAGCCAAAGCTCTATTGCTATCCCGAATGGTAGCACTTGGAATTCGTAGCGTCGACCATTGAAGCGTAGATAGTTACTGGAGGATGGGTTTCTCGGGACGTGAAGATATGCATCTGTTAGTCTAGGCTGATAAGCCAGTCCCCTTTCTTCAACCTAGACCATAATTTCCGTATGGACTCCATCTCGAATTTTGGTGGAGGTACCAGATCTCTTGATGAGGGTTTTTAAATTTATAATCATCCTCATCTCGGTTGTATTTTTTTCCAGAAGACCAGAGAGTAAAAACCCTTGGCTCCGACCAGGGGAAATCTTCGGCCCACGGCGTGTGTGATCAGGATCGGGTGTTCCCTGAAGTGTAGCTTGTATCCATGATCCACGACGTGTGGAATCCAGTGGGCGGGCATAACTCGCTTCCAATTTTTGGCGTATGACAGTAGACGCCTTCCCACTGGGCCCGGATTCGGCATTATGTTGAAAGACGATAGGCGTAAATCGCAGTCCATAGACATAGCTAGGATAATGGATATAATGGATAATCGTCGCACTCTGCGTATATACCGTAGGTTTCGTCACCCTCCGGTCACCATGATTCCGGTATAATCTGTCTCTGTGTGGCTTGTGGTCCATGGGTAGCGGAAGCCATGCGGTGGCTGCACTTTCGGCCGGCTGGCCAGTCGGCTGCCTGGGTAATCCCGTGTGTACCGTGTTGCTGGCTTGGGAACCGTTGGCTGATGAAGGTCATACGGTAAGCCGTAGTCGGTCGGCTGGGTAGCTGTGGGTGGCTGGCCCATGGAGTCCATGCAACTGTTCAGCGTCTGGCTGGTGTGGCTGGCTGGCTTGGTTGCCGTGGACGGCCTGTACATGGATACCGTGCCGTTCCCGTACGGTATTCTCCCTTGGTTGGGTAACGCCTGCTGGCTGACCGTACGGCCCAGTTTACTGGTCTATTGTAGATGGGCCTACGGCCGTGGAAGAAGATCGGATAGTCTATGCCAGAGCTATCTCTTTGATCTTTCCTATCTCTGTATCCATTGCTGAGAGCTTCGTCTCGAGCATGCCCTTCACCATCTCCTGCTGTTGAACAGTTGGTTGATCAGACTCATGGTGGGTGCAGGAGATGGTGGGTGGACTGGAGAGGGAGGCACTGGAGTGGAAACTGATTTTCCAGTTACGATGTTTTCCACTTTCTTCTTGGCAGCCTCGCGCCTACTGCATTGTTCACATCTCTTCTCCTAAGTGCAGGTCATACCTCTGCACTTCGTGCAGT